CCATTGTTTTAATGCATCTTTAACAGGAGAGGTGCGTGCCCACCCAGAAGTCCAACCTCTACGTGGTAGGTGGGAGAAGCAGCACAATTAGGGAACTGCCCAACAGTATTGTGGGGACCGTCCCAGGTCGCTACGGTAGCGTGAAGGCCTGCAGGGGAATGCGGCTGTTAACGGGGCAATGGCACCTCCTCATTCCATGGAGCAGCTTGGACAAGCCACCACGGGAGAGGTGCTACTTTTGGCACATGAATACCATCCTCCCGAAACTTGTATAGATGACTATGTTAGAGTTTCCCCCAAGCCAAGAAGGATGTATCTAAACAACCAGCAGTAGTGAAGTGAGAGACCCTGGAACCTAATACCTGGGCGTGGCGTATGGAAATTACGACAATAATTATTATTTGAAAGCTCCAAGTCAAATTTGCGACATTCAATCTTGAGAGACAAAAAAAAAAAAACACCTTGATTACGCCACCATGTGCACGCAATTTGAGAAAACGAGTTTTTTTTCTCGTGCGTTTTTTTTTTTCTTCGCGTATCCGTTCCAAATAGAATATCTGAAATGAATTTTATACATCGGTAATTTAATTAGCCCAGAAACCTACATGTGCTTTATAGTGCGAATTTCCATGGCTAAAAATGTATTTTAAAAAAATGTTATATATATATATATATATATATATATGAAGAAACAAAAGAAAAAAATAAAAGATAAGTGGGTCAGGTGTTGATATTAAAAATAAAAAAGGCATCTCCTGACCACGAGCAAGCTAAATTAACGTTTAACGACACTTGAAGTTACACCGCATGAGATTCTTTTAAACGAAAAATCAAATTTTTATTTCAAGGTAAAATATCGACTATTTTTAACCTTTTTGGATGAGGTATGAAAGGGTGAATTATGAAGAGTAATGACGAACGGAAAAATAAAAGTGTCCAGGGATGGGAATCGAACCCACAATGTTCCGCTTACCGGGCAGATGCCATGTCCACTAGGCTACCCGGTAAGCGGAACATTGTGGGTTCGATTCCCATCCCTGGACACTTTTATTTTTCCGTTCGTCATTACTCTTCATAATTCACCCTTTCATACCTCATCCAAAAAGGTTAAAAATAGTCGATATTTTACCTTGAAATAAAAATTTGATTTTTCGTTTAAAAGAATCTCATGCGGTGTAACTTCAAGTGTCGTTTTACAATCACAGGCCGCAGTGTATTATAAATAAACGTTTAGTTTATTTTTGCTCCACTAGATGGCGCTCTGCCATCTAAAAAGCACATGTGCTCGTGGTCAGGAGATGCCTTTTTAATTTTTAATATATATATATAAAAAGGAAACATCTAAAATTTTTAGAAACTCTCCACATATTTGTTACTTCTTTCGAATCCAGTTTTCAATCCTATAATATTGAAATTATAAGGCTGAAGAAGAAGAAATATTATTTAATTCCTTTACGAATGCGTTAATTGGTGCTGGGAGGAGAATGCCCGAGGTTCCTACTCAATACACAAAATACCATCGCGCACTCTTCCTTCTAGGAAGACTGACTACACTTTCACAGTTCCCAATTCTAAATTAAACCAGCATTATCGTAACGGATGGAAATGGGCTACAACGTTTTGTAAATGCACCGCGTGATTCAAGTGTAGCAAACACCCAAAGCGTCTATGGGAGGGTGACAATGTATATTTTAATTTAATAGAAAACAAGATGGCTGCACGTGGCAAACGTGTTCGAACTCTCATGAAACTAGTTCTTTCAAAAATAAAATTTGCACACACATTCATGCCTACCTTGCCGGCGTGTAGTTTAATTCTCAGTAGACAGACCGTGGTCTGTATTACAACTTTAACTTTAACGCCCCATAAAGCCACAAGCTAACAAGTAGGCAAAGTAACCTGCATCAAGCCAGAACCACCACGAGGGTGTTGGCACTTCCCCCGCGGAACTTAACCTGGCTGGGACAGACAAAGCGCTGGAGAGACGCCAGGGTGGATGATTCAGGTCCGGGGAATGTTCACAGCTGTGGATAGACAAACATCTGGGATCACTTCCTTATTTATCTATGCAAATCTGGAAGACAAGCTATTAAAAGAGCACCGGTCAAAATAGATGACGCATAGTTCTTAATCTTCTATTTTGACAGGTCTTTATCATTAATCTGGAGTTCGCCATGGTGTGGGATAGTGGAAATGATCCGACCCCGGAACGTGCGGAAGAAAGACTAGACTGGCCTATTTGTTAGAACGCCCGCCTATACATATTTATTTCTACTTAAAACCGCACAGGTATAGCTGCCACAGGTGTGTGGGTAACAGAGAAGGATAAGTTGCATTGACCATCAGTTAAACAGGAAATTTACAGTTTTGATAGATGAAGTCTCCAAAACAAAAGAGACGGGTATCTGGTAAGAATATAAAAGTTAGCCTTCCCGATCTGTCTTTGGAATATCTAGCTATTGATAATCTGATCATTTAAAGGCCTTAGCGAGCAGACTTGATCTCTCTGGCTCAAACAACAGTTCCCTTAGATGCCAAAAAACTTCGTGATTTTTACCCCAATGTCTGTTTAGCAGTAGAGGATAAGCAGAAAGGAAAATAAAAAAGTCCCTATAGATGTCCTATATGCCGACATACATCACAGGCTTCGTGATTTTTACCCCCATGGCCGTTTGTCAGTAAAGCAGGAAGGAGAATGAGTGTAAAGCCGTGCAATCATCTTCAAGGAAGTGTGAACATCTAGGGGGCAAATACCTCACCGTTTCTATCATCCCTACATCTCTCTAGACCGCAGTCATTCATCTTCTCATCTCAATAGAGAATGGGAAGATTATGCAAATGGGGAGCTCCGCCGGCGTCCACAATTAAGTGAACGGCCAATATAAGGCCGCCACGTGATGGCTGCTTGCCTGATGTCCATGGCCTTCCTCCCTACTTAGACGGAATCGCTCAGCGAACCGCGAGGAGGTCTTACAGCTCTTAACCACCTATAAGCGATAATATATCCCATACGTCGGTTTTCTATTTATAGTGGGCTGCGTTGTGCTCTGGTGTAGGTTGTGAGTCACAAAAAAAATTATATAAAACAATAAACTGTTAAGATAATTTAACTTCCAAAAATAACCAGATTCTTGCCCTTGTTCGTTTCGCAATTTCCGTAGCACACCTTGTGTAGCGCCCATATTTAGACTCAATGTCCAGGTAGGGGCAGGAACTGCGCGGCGTCTAGGAAATGTCAGTGTGGATGGCATCAGCGATTAGAATTCCACAGCGAAGAGAAAATGCCTCGACTACAGCACTGAGAACAGATCGTTAAGAACAAACAAGATGAGTAATCTAATATAGCTCGAGGTCTGGCAATTACGCCTTATGGTGATTGATATAAGACGGCCATCAAGGCTAATTTATTTCTACGCTGTCCGGCACGCCGAGTCCTGTCGAGGAAGTCCCGTCTCATACGGACCCTTGGGGGCGATGCGCAAAAATGCGGAAACGGCGTTGGTGGCTGCAGTAGACGCTGATCTACACTGCAGGCTGGAAGAACAGAACTCCGCAATAGCGATCGATTTATGGAGAACTGTACGTCGTGGTAGGCTACGTGCGGAATGAGCTTTGAAACGGCTGCAAGAAGTTGGCAACAGTTTGAGGCAAAGAATCGACATGGAATCCATTGTATTTTAGCGGCCCAACAAGTGAATTCTACTCGGGAAATGAATACCTGTCGGTTTGCGCCTTGTTTGGGGACAAAGAAATAGAAAACCGTGATTTTTTAAATGGTCAACACACCTAGTTGTGTGTATGTGTGTGTGGGGGGGGGTAAATGCTAATTCATTTCCTCCCAGTTTCCAAATTAGGTGATACCTCTTTGACAAAGTACCGTAATGCTGTGGTTCTTCAACTGAAATCATAAAATCGATCTCACTGTACTGTAAAGTTGATCCTTGTTTTGATTAGTGCTAAGAGTAAATCCAATGGCTCCTCTACCTTGATTGTGAGTTGATATATGTTTTGTCCAGTAAACGTACGTCACTTAGTTCAATTCCTCCATCATAACAACCTGTTTGCTTGAAATTCCTTAAATTATTTATTTTTCATTATCCTTATTTATGTATTCGTTTATTTACACTTTTGCAAATTATTATTTTCGTTTTCTCCCCCCTCCCCCCTTTTTTTTTTCTTCTATAATAATCATACAGTAATTTCTTTAACGATTTATAATTACCTTCGGACTACCTCGACCCATATTTCACTTTCTATGCCTATGCGTTCACTAAATGGTCAGTGCCTGAATTGTTATGAGAGGGCTCGGTAGACGGCGAATACTTCGTGTAAGAAGAAGGTACAATTGACACGAGCCAGAACATGGGTCCCAGCTGAAGTCCAGCCAGACAAGACATGTCCTATATAAGAAGGGAGGGCGGAGCACAGAACTGTCACCGTATACATATTTGATGATCCCACACGCTAGTTATCAATCTCAATGTTCTGCTTGTGGCTTGTTTTTCTTTAAGCATCTTTTTAAAAATAGAGTAGTAAACGGAGTATCTGTGACTTAACTATATTTATAAAAGTTCGTCCGCGGGGGGGGGGGGGGGGGGGGGGGGGGGGGGGGGGGGAGAGATATATAATAATAATAATAATAATAATAATACACGCAGACAAAGGCCTAAAAAACAAGGAAAATATATTTTTTAAAAGCCGTTTAGAATTTTTTTTTTTTTATATAAACATGAACATTTGTTCATGTTCACCCCCTTCCTATCAAAATGACGCTAAGCACCATCTATTAAACGTCTCTAAGAACCCGGAGGCCAGGATTTCGGGCTTATTAATGGCCTTCGTCAGTCCAAGGCAGGAAATTGATTTCATGAACTAGACAGAGGTTTTATGAAATCTTTAGAATTTGTCAAAGAGGTGTTTGTTTGTAACGTTGCTAGGCCAATTGTATGGCCAAAATATAGCTGAAAAGTTTGCCCTACAATCAAAGAAAAAGTAAAACAAGCCAGCCAGGATTCGAACCTGGGATCTTCTGATCCTTTTAAACAGACGCGTTAATCATTACGTCATGCCAACTGCGTTCTCAATTGCTTACATCCAATCATTCACACGTATCAAATTGAAAAGTAACCAATAAATATAATACAAGGAGTATACAAGAGGTATACAAGAGCCCAAATAAAAAGCCCAAATGACGCGGACAAATCTATCATTTTTATACTTTCAAACATAGAATGTAAATAGAAGTATCTGTGGGGGTATGGAGCCCTTTACCAGTCACGAAACACCGTTCTCTCTTCCCTTTGTTCTATTGTTTTCACATAATACAAACTATTTATGTCATATATAGTGTTCGTTTAAAATATCTCAAACATCTAACTACAGGTTCGACCTAGCAACATCTGTTTAGGTTTACAAGTGGTCGGCATACCTTCGACAAACACGTTTTTTTATATATGTGAGCAACAACACCTCTTGATCGTACAACTTATAAATTGCGCCATCTATTGGAACAAATATTAACTGATCGTTGGGTTTTTATTCCACAATATTCGTCAAATATTTCTTGATAAATATAGAAGAGCCGTTATCAAATTTCAATCAGGAGATGTTTTCCCCTTAAATTTACTTCTTGATCCTGTACACTTTTTGTTGTCTAGTTTCCTATCGTCTTAAAAGGTATATACATTTTTATCCTTCGGTATAAAATAAAAAGAAAACATTATAAATAACATGAAGCAAAAATTGGTAAAAACATATCTCGAAACTGAAGAAGTACAAACTATATGAAGGATACAAGGTAATAAGACCAAATCCAAATAAATTAATAGTGTGTAACGTTTCGGTAACAACGTTGTTACCATCTTTCTCTCCCATCAAACAAAAGAATTTTAAAAAGTTTTTTTATTATTATTATTATTCTTTTGTCTGATGAGAGAGAGAGAGAGAGAGAGATGGTAACAACGCTGTTACCGAAGCGTCAAACACTATTAATTTATTTGAATTAGGTCTTATTTTCTTGTAGCTATAATCTATGATCCAAATTGTGCTTTATCATAGATGAAGATTTAAAATCTGGACGCAATTTTTAGATTCTCTCGAAGCGAAACTACTGCGGTGTTTGACCAACCACACTCTATGTACACACACAACAATAAAATAAACTTTTATTAAATCACGTCTTCACGATATATTTACAGCAATAAAGCGAAGGGAATTAAAATGATGTCGAATAAGGTGTATAATACAGGTTGAGTAGAGAAGGCGTAGACTCAAATAACGAACAAGTTTTGACAAAGCCTATTTGTACCTGAGAGGAAACAAGTGTGGGTTGAAATATACATTAAGTATCTAAAGGACCTATATATCAATGCCTTTAATAAAGACACTTTTAGTCTTATATACAGATTCCCCAGAGAGATATGGCAAATGAGTGGGGAAAAATGAGGAAGAAATAAATTAGAATATTCAAAGTTATATTTTTTAGAATTAAAGAAACTTCGGCCAGTAAATCTTTTTATTATATCGACGTTTCGACAAAAATATTTTGTCTTCTTCAGGAGCAAATAAAAATTAAAGCATTTTACAAGGCATTAAAAATTATTCTAAGGTTGCAAGGAAGTTCTCACGCTTTAAAAATACTTTTATTTTTATTTGCTCCTGACGAAGACAAAAGATTTTTGTCGAAACGTCGAGATAATAAAAAGATTTATACTGGCCGAAGTATCTTTAATTCTAAGAACTATGAATGCCGGCCAGGGAACCTCTATCTTCGTGACAAAGTTATACAGTATCTAACAGTAAATCTTTTTGAAAAAATGTTCTTTTAATATATAACTTTAACCGCGCGAGTTTCGAGCTCTTAAACGGGCCAAAATGATGCTAAGAGTGAATCCCTCCACGTTCACTGTCATCTTTGTGCCCGTTGAAGGGCGAGGGCTCGAAAGCACATTCGTTAACGTTATTAAAAGAAACTTATTACAAAAAGATTTACTTTTATATATAATATTTATTGCAATTTCTTTATATTAATATGAAATTATAAGAGAAATATGCACGTATATACGTGTATATAAAAGCATTTCCATAGAAAGAGGACACCTCGGGACCAGATGGAACTTTTTTATTTTCACGACGTTGGAGTGAACATCATTTGCCTTCTTCATGAGTGGAAATATTTCAAATTTATTTTTATTATTTTGACTCGTGAGGGATTCTTGAAAAGCTTACGTGAAAACGTGGGTTTTACATAAATATATGGCTCAAAAGTTGGTTAAAACGTCATTTTGACAGCTATATTTACATCAAAAGAGAGCATGATATGTAAATATGGGATGTTCAACGGTTAGCAAGGGTGATGGACCTGTAATGACTACCATCCAGGGTTGGTTTTGAAGAATTCCGAAAGTTTCAAAATAATTCCTAGAGCGTCTTTAAATCCTTGAACGCGCGGAATAGTTTTCAATTAGCTCTGTGAAAGGTGTTAATGGAAGTCGGACTGAAGGAAAGACATGTGGGTTGGAAGGCGTTCGTTCTATAATTGCCCTGCCTCTAATATATGAGGTGAGAGGCTTGAAAAATGACATCGCGCGCGAGTTGTATTCTTCTTTACAAAAGAAGAAAAAAAAAAATTATATTTTTTAGATGAGTTCTGTCGGGGTGTTTTAGAATTTTTAGAAACTGCAAAGAGTGTTGTTAAATTGATATTTTAAAAAAGAGGTCATTTCACGCCTTCTTTTTTTGTCTTGAGGGAGGGGTCGGGATATCTAAAAAAAAAAAGATTAACCTATTCTTGCCTTAGAGATGGCCCAATTGGATTGTAGATGGAAATTGAAAAGTCCTTTCTAAATACGTAAATGTTGTCACCTTATATGTATATATTTCTATGAAAATTCGAAACTATTTTTAGACGCGTAAGTTTCTTTTTGAAATCAAACAATTTCTACTGCCCTTACTGCAATGGAAAAATTAATGGAAGGGTCTGGCTCATCAGTGGTGAACCCTTCCAGGGGTTTCGCCAGTTTAATCTACCATACCGCTTTTATATTGCATTTTTCGATCTTCCTTTTATAGTGATACTGTTGCTAAACTCTTGGAATGGGTATTTTATATGAACTATGAACATAAGCTTTGAGGACAGTAGAATTACATACAATTATGAATATATATAATATGCTTCGAGCAATCCCTCTTTCGCAAATATCAAATTGAGTCTTTTATTAGAACATTTATAATATGATGCTCTAGCGCGCCATTTGTTATGAAAATTCGAAACTATTTTAGACGCGTAAGTTTCTTTTTGAAATCAAACAATTTCTACTGCCCTTACTGCAATGGAAAAATTAATGGAAGGACCTGGCTCATCAGTGGTGAACCCTTCCATTGCAGTAAGGGCAGTAGAAATTGTTTGATTTCAAAAAGAAACTTACGCGTCTAAAATAGTTTCGAATATTCATAACAGATGGCGCGCTAGTGCATCATAATATATTTCTATGTATACATGTTAGTATAGTCTTCTCTTTTTTTTTTTATTACTTCTTAATTTAAGCAAGAGAGAAAGCGCATTTTATAGTTTTACCATTTTTAGAGTGCCATTATTAAATTCTATGTCTCCGATAAGTTTTAATGTTTGCTTTAGTTTCTTGGGCAGAATTGACAACCGTCATTTAGAGGTTATCCGCGATCTAAGAAGACACCTTATATAGCTCTGTATAGCAGCAGACACCGCAACTGTGAATTCAATAGTTGAATAAGCCGTTTAAAAGGCAAAGTCTATTAAACTACTTTCAACATAACACAGTGGGGATAAAAGATATCTGTAAATAACAACAACGCACCCATGTTTTCCCACTAAGGTATACTTTCGCAATAAAACAAAAATTCAGGCAAATGTCTAAGAAAGGTGCTTTATATGACATGTATTTTTGAAGATGGAAAGATTCTGTTAATGGATCAAAGCTCGCCATTTTTACCCAATAAAGGAAGCTCCTTTTTATTTTATTATTACAGAAGCACAAAGTCTATCAGACTATTGTGCTATATTTGAATTATTTACATATATACACATAGTATTATATAAAAAAAACAATAGAAAAAAAAAGATAAGTGGGTCAGGTGTTGATGTTAAAAATAAAGAAGGCATCTCCTGACCACGAGCACATGTGCTTTTTAGATGGCAGAGCGTCATCTAGTGGAGCAAAAAAACACTAAACGATTATTTAGCTTGCTCCGAGATATTTGGCCAACCCAATTTCTTGATAAATCAAGAAAAGCCATCCACGAACGCGTTTCGCGCTGTTGGCGCTCGTCAGCGTGGAGAAGGCTGTAACCACTGCGACCAAAAAGATTTTTGGTCCCAATGGCTTCCCGAAAAATCAAGAAATGGGTATTTAAGGCCAAATTTGCACATGTGCTCGTGGTCAGGAGATGCCTTCTTTATTTTTAATATCAACACCTGACCCACTTATCTTTTTTTTTTTTTTCTATTGTTTTTTCATGTGTTAAGCCTCTTTGCGCAAATTTGGCCTTAAATACCCATTTCTTGATTTTTCAGGAAGCCATTGGGACCAAAAATATTTTTGGTCGCAGTGGTTACAGCCTTCTCCACGCTGACGAGCGCCAACAGCGCGAAACGCGTTCGTGGATGGCTTTTCTTGATTTATCAAGAAATTGGGTTGCCCAAATATCTCGGAGCAAGCTAAATAAACGTTTTGTTTATTTTTGCTCCACTAGATGGCACTCTGCCATCTAAAAAGCACATGTGCTCGTGGTCAGGAGATGCCTTCTTTATTTTTAATAGTATTATATATTCAATTGTTTACACGATGAATTAGTAGTGATTTATAAATCTGTGTACAAATAGCTCTAAACAGAGCTCCAAGGAAGCTCCTTAGAATCGTACTTTGTTTTTTTACACGTAACATTCCGAAGGGTATAAATAAAATAAAAGGATTTAAAAGAGCGAATGTTTCTTTTATACATAAAACGAACTTCTACTGTCCTCACTGCGATGAAAAAATATATTGGGAGGGCTTGGCTCATCAGTGGTGAACCCCCCCAGCGGTTTCGCCAA